AGTTTTGTTTCAATCTCTGAACATAAACTTTCATAGACCTTTCGCTGCTGAGGCTACATTCTGTCATACTTCTCTGCACCTCCTTCTCCCTCTCTCTCTCTCTTTCTCCCTCTTTCTCTCTATTGCAGCACTCAGCAGGACAGGGCTGAAAGTCAGGCGTTTTGAAGAGAGGACGTTGAGAGTGAATGGCTCATTCACATTAAATAAGAATTAGAGGGCTTCCACCCTGCCACTCTTACAATGGTCAAACAGCCTGGCACAACATGAGAACTGTTCACAACTGCTCTCACACACACACACACTGAAAAGCATGCCCTTTGTGTCGAGGAAAAGAGAGTGTGGTTTTGTATCAAATAGATTTTCTGTTTTATTTTTAGATGGATAGTATGATTTTGATCTATGCAGCACCGTGACTCACCCAAAAAATAAAATTCGATCATACTCTCTCACATTTCTCCAAACCCTTCTTTAGGAACATATAAGAAGTACTTACTGTAGGCTGAGTGTTCATGCTCTTTTCTATACAATGAAAGTGAATTGTGACATGGGGCTTTCAAAATTAAAAAAATAATACTTCTATATAAGTATATTAGTCCAACTGGTAGATTTTATTCACATTGATATATACTAATTGTAATACTAATGTCGCACCAGTGAGGCCAAATTTTTCTTTTTTGTCTTGCAACTGATGTGCTAAATTTGAACATACAGTCATGGTCAGAATTATTGGCACCCTTGGTAAATGTGATCAAAAGAAGGCTGTGAAAATAAATCTGATCTTTATTTAAAAGAAAAAAAGTCTCAAAAAAGTAACCTTTCATTGAAGGAAAACTAATGAATGTGGGTGGAAAATCCCACTGTTAAAATGATAAAAATGTGAAAATGTTTTTCTCTAATACACGTTGGCCACAATTATTGGTTCCCCTAGAAATGTTATTTTGCACTTTATATTTACAATTTTTCGCACACCAGGGTGACTAGGAACATAAAATTGTCCAGGCATGACTTGCTGTTTCACATGACTATAGATATGAGGAAACACAAAGGCAAAATTCCCTTAATCATCATACTGGCTATAAAAGAATAGTTCTGATTTTTGGAATAGCTTGGCAGCCCCTGTCCACCATTCACTAATATAGTATGGGAAGTGCATTGTGATCATCCTGCCTAACATCATATTTTGTGTCTGATAGAACAAAGAAAATCATACAGGTCTGGAACAAGATGATTCATTTACGTGTGAACTATACCTTTAATATAATCATGAAATTGTGTATTATGGTGACCTTTTCCCTAAACTGAATTAGATATTTTTGTGTTAAGTACACTCTCAAAAAAAAGGCACAAAAGCTGTCACTGGGGCTGTATCTTTTCAAAAGGTACACTTTTGTATCCAATGGCTACATATTGGTACCTTAGTGGTACATATTAGCACCTGAAATGTACATATTACCTCATGAAATGGACATATTAGCACCTAAAATGTATATATTATCACCTAAAATGTACATATTTACACCTAAAATTGACATATTACCACCTAAAATGTACATGTTAACAGCTAAAATGGACATATTAGCACCTAAAATGTACATATTAGCACCTAAAATGTACATATTAGCACCTAAAATGTACATATTATCACCAAAAATTGACGTATTACCACCTAAAATGTACATATTAGCAGCTAAAATGGACATATTAGCTCGTGCAATGGACATATTAGCACCTAAAATGTACATATTAGCACCTAAAATGTACATATTATCACCAAAAATTGACGTATTACCACCTATAATGTACATATTAACAGCTAAAATGGACATATTAGCTCATGCAATGTACATATTAGCACCTAAAATGTACATATTAGCACCTAAAATGTACATATTAACACTTAAAATATACATATTAGCACCTCAAATGTACATAGCACCTAAAATGGACAAAAGTTTACCTTTTAAAAAGTTACAGCCCCAGTGACAGCTTTTGTACCTTTTTTTCTGAGAGTGTATTTGTCTTATGTAATACAAAATCAGGAATTTTGCACTTCAGTAGGCACTTACTGAATTCAATTGTCTCGATTAGATTGTGTGTATGAGTGTGTATTTATTTTGTCTAGATCTTTCTTTAGGGGCTGTATATCTGTTTTGCTGTTGGCGACAGTAATGGCTGTTTAATTACTCAATAAAAACGTTTTATGAATGCAGTGTGTGTGAGTCTGTGTGATGTATTGATTTTGCTGCTGGAGAAACCTGAGATTTTCACTTAAGGAAAGTGACTCTGTCTGTCGATGGGCTGCTGGTTTTAAATAGTAGCCTACGTATATGCATTTACACACAAGCACATGCAAAAATACACCGCGTAAGCATTGTTTAAAGAGACGCTACTACTGAACTAACAAATATTCAGTCAATGAAGTGAAGATTCCTTCCTCTAAAACCAGTTAATTGAAATGGAAGAATGGAACATTGCTTTAGAAGAGTGTGTGTGTGTGTGTGTGTGTGTGTGAGAGAGAGAGAGAGAGAGAGAGAGAGAGAGAGAGAGTGATGGGCCTTCTCTGGAGGATATGTAGCCAGAGGGTATATTGGAACAACAGAAAGTCGTTCTCTAAAGCACCAGCACAAAACCTTTTACACACGGAAAATAACTAACACTAGATCAGCAGCTTTGCAGCTAATGGGATTTTCCAGGTTCTGTAGAATACAACAAAAAAGATAGCATTTAGAGAGAACATTCCACCAAACCATGTTAATCTTGGACTTTACAAAACGTTACATTTAGCTTTAGACTGGTGAGGCTGTAATGTAGTCTGGCAAGCCAGAGAATATTCATTTGTTCATCTTTAACTAGCTCTCTCCATTATGAATAGTACTTTATCTTTGTCTTGTTGAACAGCTGAAGTTGTGTATGTTCGTATGAAGAACCCTTCATGCACCGTTTTGGGAATTTTTGCACTCATCTCAAGAGGTTTGGCTGATGTGGTTTAATTGAGGCTTTATTTTAGATGACATGTTCATTCTCTAGTCCTGGTGTTTGCAATTGTTCATTCTCAGGGTGAGGAATTTAACACACCCACTTTGGCACATATCTCGTCTCATGAATGGCACCTCAAGTCATGTGGCTTTTAGAGGACAGGTGTAACCATTACTTTTATAAGCAATTGGACATCCTGTAGCTCTACAGTGTAGCATGTTAATAACAATGCCAATGTGCTAGCGAAATACATAAACTGATGAAATATATGTGGAATGGAATGTAAATCACTTTGGATAAAAGCCAAATGTAAATAAATGTCGACTGTAAAGAAGAAAACTTCCACAGAACATATTTTCATTGAAATATATCTGTAGAACAGAACATTTTCTATTCTGGTTTCACCAATCTGGTTTTGGTGAATTTACTGTGTATCTGTTTTTATAGATGAGCATGTCAGAAATAATGCTAAATTACAGACTACTATTATGTATTGCTAACGTCAACCAATAAAATAGAAAAAGTTGTTATAAGACATCATTAGCTCTTTCAGATCTGTTATTGATATTGCTTTTAATCTTTTTTATTTATCTTCTTTTATCCTATAATATTTCAACCAACTGTAATTAGCTTTTGTTAGGTATCTGCTAAACTATAGAACTTTAATTTATAATAGTCAAATCTATTGCTAATGTATTGAGTATGAGTGACTTTCAAAGTCCCAATTCATGTCAGTCAAAGTCCTTCGTGTGTGTGTGTGTGTGCAGTAACTTCAGCCTTTCCCATGAGAGAACACTGACTGACCTCAAGTTGCGTGTATCGATCAAGAGGATTTGCTGCTTGATAGAATTGAATGTAATTGGGCAGTTTTTAATTGAGATGGATAGAACATGTAAATTTTGCTCCATTAGTCCAAAATCAATATCCATCTGCTGTAGTATGGAGTGTATGTCTGTTTCTTTGTTTTATTTTATTTAATTAAAAAAAAAAACAAGGTTGTTTCTGATGCACAAGGTTTTGCAAATCCACTGTACTTGCAAGGTCAGAGAAGATTTCATGTTTCTTTATTTTAGAAGTACTTCACTGTATGTAATATTTTATGGCTAAGGACATAATTTCTCTTTCTTTCTTCTTTTTTCCCTTCTCTCCCCAATTTCGTTCCATCTGTACAGCCAAATTGGAATGTGGAAGAAAAGCTCTTTGTTTCATAAACTAAAATATTGGTCCAGTAGTCTGCGTGTGCTATATGTGTGAAGCTGAAATGACAGAGAGACAATATTTTTAGGGGTAACATCTGTTGTCGGGTTCAGTTGCTAATGCCGAGAGCTACATTATTGATCAGTCGTTATTACAGTATGCTGAAATATTATGTTCCTGTGTGGTGTGCCTGAGTCAATGAAACTGAGGAAGAGACGCAGAGAGTGTAATATGAGGTTCCTTGATTACATTAAAGAGCTTTTATTTTATTCACTTGAGATGAAGCCTTCTGGTGTATCTCAGTATCAGACCTTAATGATATCATCAGAGCTATTCTGGATGTGTGTGTGGCGAGGAATCAAGTTCTAGTAGTACACAGCTGAATTTAAACTTCACTGTTAATCGAAAGATCGCAAAACAGCTCAAATAGCTGCGAATGTGTGCTTAGAAAAAGGCTTTGTTTGATTATCTTTCATTTGAATATTTTATATTAAATAAGTTTTGTAAAATTATTTTTGTCTTTTTTACAAGATGATTATGCACAAGTGGTCATTAATTAATTGCGGTTAATTAACCTAAATTGCTCACATTTTCTCTCAGTAGTGTTTCTTGTAACAATCCTAATTTATATTGTGATGGAAATAAGGTAGAGTAATAAGTATAATTAGTGATGTTTTTTTTGTTTTTTTTTTACAGAAATATATTATTGCATGTTTGCATATTTATTGGCAAGTTCATGGGCGGCACAATCTGAGGCTCTTGGGTGTTATAGAATTTTATTTTTTTGAATTGACATGAATTTGACTTTTTTTCCATTTTATTGGCAGGCGTGACCATGCAGTGGAGCCCTGAACAGTCACAGTGGGCGGAGCAACACTATGACATCACCTCGACCACTCGTTCGCCGGGGCATAAGATCGAAGCACTTAGGGATCCAAGGCTAACAGGTTCGACCTCAACCGCAGCGTACCAACATTCATGGGCAAACGATGACATTTCAGCTCTGACGGCTTCTAACCTGCTCAAGCGGTATGCAGAGAGATATTCTGCCATCCTGGATCTACCCTGTGAGAACGGACTTGTAGGATATCCAGACGCAGCCATCTCCGTTAGCATTAGGGGACCCGGTGTTGTGAATAACGGGCCCCCCCTTCTCAATGGACGGAAGGTGGAGGCAGAGCCCTGGCTGGAGAGCGTCTACCCTCCGTTCGGTTGCGTGCCCGAACTTCTTCCCAAAGCAGCGCTCAGCGTGTCGGATGTGTCCGTCAGTGCGTGCAACTCCCCAGTTGTAGGCAGCGGAAGTCTTCCAGAATCTTGTTTCTCCAGCAGCAGTTGTAACGGTCAGTCCGCGAATCAGGAATACAGCAGCACTCCCTACAGCACTCCCTTCCTGCAGCCTGTAGGAACTTACGCAGGCTCTCTTTTCCACCCTACCCCTTACAGTGCTAACACCTCGCAAAACCTATCGGCATACAGTTACCCAAATCCCCGTTACCCCTCACAGGCCGTTCTTCCTATAGGCTACAGTCCTCCCCCAGCGTACCTGCCTTCAGGTATAAATCCTCCTAACCCTCTTCCAACTGTGGGATACTCATATCCTACCACCAGCCTGGGAGGTAGTGTCTCTGAAAGTGATGCCCCAAGTGCAACCAACCTTTCAAAGTCATATTACCCATCAACTCAAAGTGAGATTGGAGTGTTTGAGGAGTTTGATTTTGGCGGAAACTCTAATTCGGACTCTAGGTCTGAAGGCAGTCCCCTCTACAGACCATCAGGGGATGACCCGGTGGACAAGCAAAATGGGTTCAGCCAATCGGCGGGTGAAACTTCATCTTTCAAGCCAGCTAATCACGGAGACTCTTTGAGAAGCCTGGAGACTCTCACAGTTGCCATGAGCGGCCGGAACAATGGTACATCCGGGCAGCACTTCCCATCTACCTCGACTTCTGTTGTCACTTCTCACCAACATCTCTGCCTTGATACAAACACACCCTGAGAGATTGTGCTCATACTCAAGCAGCAATGCTTGAGTTGCTGAAGTGTGATTGCTTCCTCGTAATGGATCGGAGGTAGAAAGGAGGGACTTGCTCAAAGCCATTGTGTCGGGCCTCAAAATACAGCTGCATCATGGGCAATTCTGTCCTGGAAGACAGCAGGAGTTTAGTTTCTCCTTTCTGGAAAGAGGACTATGATGTTTATGTCCCTCCTAGCCGAGCCTAACTGGTCATTGCGAGACAATGGCCTCCTCACTCTGCTGGAATGGACAAACCGGTATCCTCCATGATGGACACGCATATCTGAGAGGGATGGAAAGATTTCACTCCTCCATTCCGAGAGATAGGAGAGTACATCAAGGGAATTGATATGCCTAATGGATGTGTTGCGATTACCATGGAGACAAGGAGTCACGGTAACAGATGTGGTGGTTGGACACTAGCTACGTATGGTTGACCATCTTGCCATGGTGTACATTCTGTGTGTGCGTGTGTTTGTGGCCTTGTAATGGTTATTTATGTGGTGAGCTTTAAGTGTAAATCCTGTTGCCCCTTTTCCACGGGAGAGTTGACAAATCCTGCTTGTTTAAAGAGTCCATGTGTGTGAGTGTGGGAGAGATAAATAAAACCTCAGGAAAGTGTCTGTCAGTTAAATACTGTATGTGCAACAGAGAAGAGGGCATTTTCACATACCGTCCTTAGGAAAAAACGAAACAATTCAATCGACTTGAACTAGGTGGTCTGTTTGTCAATTTGTGTGCTCTTTCACAGCATTTTAAGAGAGTATACAGATCAGTTGCAACGAGACATTTTTGTAGAACGGGATTATTCTACGAAACATTATGCAAATCGTTTTTTTGCAGTTCTTTAGGTTGTTAAAGCTGCTGTGTGTAATGTTTTTCAATGAGAAATGATGTTCTCCTTTACTAGGTTAATATGCAGAGAAAAATCTTGACTTTCCAAAAAGTGTAAACACTGGCACTGTGGTGCTTTGTTCGAACCTACCAACACTGGCTTGACCATTGGTGCAAATTTGATGGCGGGACTTCCTTTTTGTCCGACCAATGGAAGATAGAGAGAAATGTTTTATTTTAAACAATCTTTATTTTTATAATTCCATTTGATGCCTTTAGGGGCTTAACAAAATTGCAAACTGCAGCTTTAAAATTTGCTGTTCGATTTAAAGTGTTTAGTAAATAACAGTATTTATCAGTCATTGAGATCTATTGTGCTGTTATGTCTATTCCACCAATAGGCTATTTTAACATTACTGCAGTGCAGACATAAAAACAAATGGAATTCAAACAATTCAGGCTACTTCCTGAGATGGTCTCAGCTTGCTTGGCTACCAAAAATAAAACATTGCCTTAAGGGCCAAGTGTGAAAATGCTCAGCGAGAAGGAGACCACATGATTTTTGCGTGTTTGTCTTCACTTAAGTTTTTGCGCATTTTTAAAAATAGTGTTGTTTACTTTATCCCAAGCACTGGAAATAGGTTTGGCTGACCTCGCTACAAATCTTTCTTTTATGAACCCCACCAAAGGGAATTAAGATATTATACTTATTTATTAAAGTAATCACCAAAGCAGCTGTGTGGGAGCCAAATCGCAAGGAAATGTTCTGCCAAAATGACTCCCTCTGTGTGAATACGTTTTATTTCTGTGCAGTTTCGATTCAAGAGGGTGAATTGGCTTCATTTTAGGAGACAAATGGTTGGAAATCCTTGAAAAGGCTTCTTAAAGTTCTACCAGGTCCAAATTGAATTGTGAATGGAACCAAAATTGAATTTCCTCAGAATGAGCAGACCTCAATCATAATGATGAATCTCACTGCAATGGGGCACACCAATGTATTGTTTCTATTATGTGTCTGTTCATAACTTTCCTGTTGACCACAAACTTTCAAACTAAAATGTTAGAATTATGTGAGTTATTGTATAAGTTTTCAGTGATTAGGAAATACACCAGTACACTTCTCCTTACACACTGTATGTATCATTGTCTAGATAAAAGCACAGTCATTCTTTACATTTTTTTTTTCAACTGTTTACCAAAAGTGCCATTTATATTTCTTTTATTTTTAAAGAGAAATGTTTTCTTCCACATCATCTTTTATATTGCTGTCATTTGAAGAGATTTTACTGTTACCGGTTTTATCCTGGCTACAGCTTTTCCATTTGGGTTTTATCATTTTGAAAATTAGGCAATGTCGAATGATCAATATTACATCAGTTACTGTTCTAACCATCTTTCATCTTATTAAAAGGATTGTTTGGTATTAAAAGTAAGGCACTAAGTAACTTGAGTGGCTTTTTTTCTTTACAGATCTAGATAGAAAAATTAAATCGTCTGTAGTATTCTATGCAAAACTCTCTTACTAATCCTTTGTGAGCGCACTCTTGACATGATAAGCAGCAACATTGTGCATTAAGATTTCATTTCAGCAAATATTTGATGCTATGTATTTAAGTTGTTAGCTTAGCAACACGCTAACATGAGTCGGAATCAACTGTGACTGTGAGTGTTGGTTGAGTCTCTCATGCTGTTTGTGTCGCATGCAAGTGACCCTTTTCATTTTCACATCGGTAATTTGAGGTTCCATAATATGGAGGATTTTCCCAAAAGCCCAAATTTGGATTTTGTCTATGTGGGTATCCTGCTCACTGGGTTTTGGAACAAACCTTTTGATTCTTTCCAACAAAAGATTTAAACATATTTGGCAAAATGTTGTAAGAATCTTTCTAAGATGTAACTAAACCCCTCTTATTCTTTGGGAGGATTTTTGTTGTCGTTGCTGTTGAAAAGAGCTAGGAAAAGAGTGTGACTGCAGAATGTAACGGAAGTAATGCGTCATCAAATACTCCTTGCAGACAGCAAGGTGAGACTAGGGGCCATGCAATGAGAGATATTGAAAATTGTACATCATAAGCATATCTTTTTACCACTTTTACAACCATAAACAAAAAACCCAGGCTCGATGCCTCTTTAGTGTTTGCAGTAATGGTGCACTAAACTCTCTAAAATTGTTTTGTTATCAAGACTTTGGACAGCTGTGTTTGGTATTTTTGAGTGCTGGAATTGGTGTTAAAGGTGCATTAAAATCGCACGTGTTTCACTGTGTAAACACCACATTTAGTGGTTGGTCACTCTTTTTTTGCATTTCAAAATCTGACATTTTACAATGTGTGTTCTCAATATATAAAGTACAGTTACATTTAGAATTAAATTGTGAGTTTATTGCAGTCAAACCGAGAGAGTGTGTTGCCATATTCTCAATCAACTCTATTGTGTTTGTTTTCATGACTTTTGGAGTATTGTAAACAATTTCCTAATTAAATATGTTTATCTTAAGGCCCTGCTTGCTGTTTTCAATGGCCCTGAATTTTATACGAGTTTTACTTTGAGAAAGCATTTTAAAACAACTTTGTTGCCCAAAGCGCTTCACAATTATAGAAAAAGAGTATAAAAAGCAAAAACTAAAAGATAAAGAGCAATATAACAATTAACATGCCTACAAACAAATACCCAATAACATGATCATGCCTACCAAAATCTTGATCATGCCATCCAAAATCTTGGTTAAAAAGATATGTTTTCAACTGAGACCTAAAAACCTCTATAAGTAGATGGAGCCTGCCTATTATAGAGATTGTTCTACAATTTAGCAGCAACTACTGTAAAAGCTTGGTCACCCTTTGACTTTTTCATAGCACGAGGGACTGACACATTTGAATCCTAAAAGATTGCTGATACAAATTAGAGACATGTTGTGAAGAGCTGTAAAAAACAATAATCTTAAAATCAATTCCGGACTGGCAACCAATGAAGAGAGGACAAAACTGGAGTGATGTGATCCTTTTTTGTTGTTTGTACCAGTCTGGCTGCAGCGTTCTGTACTTTTAAAGGGTCAGTTCACCCAAAAATAAAATGTATGCCATTAATTACTCACCCTCATGTCACTCCAAACCTGTAAGACCCCACATAGACTACACCATTATTTGCCTAGAAATGTATAGTGAAATATCTTTAAAATAGCTAAATGTGTGTGCAATTTACTCACTATTATATAACATGGATAAAACTGCAATAAATTTGTAGACAAAGGTGAGTGCCAGTATGAATGTGTGAATGTCCAAGTGTGTTAACCCTGTGATGGACTATCCGTTCAGAGTGTTTCCCTGCCTTCAGCCTGAGATTCTGGGACAGGCTCCAGCATCTCTTACGACAAGCGGTTAGGAAAATGGATGGATCGTTAATTGCAATAGTACATGCAAAATCAATACGTTTCTGTGGGCTGATGTGTTAAATTAGATCGTTTTGTGTTTTTTGTATTTTTCAGGTGTTTAACCAATGTGTGTAAGATTTGTTCTCATAGAACCTATGGCTTGTTTTTTTGTTTTATTATTAATTTCAAGTTAAATGTAATTTTCAACAATTAAAGTATGCAGGGCACAGTAATTCTGTTTAAGGACCCTTAAATGGGCAGTCTATGCAAATTAGGGGAAATTGTGCAAAGGCAGAATATGAAAAACATGAATAAATTATGCAAATAACAAAGAGACTTGACCATTCGAAAGCCTAAATTCCCAGTAATAAGCGTAGTATTTCATTTTTTATTTTACCATGCGGTTATGAAATGACTGCTTCAGTCTGTGTGTGTGTGTGTGTGTGTGTGTGATGGATTTGACACGGGGTGAATGAACACAAACGGCACTAAATGCCAGTGTGCATGTCTGTGTGTGGTTTGAGGCTTTGTGGATGACGGTACATTTGCGGGGTAATTATGCATAGTATTGGAATGAAGTTCAAATTAGGTATCCATTTGTGTGTGCCTGTTTGTATTTTTTTTTCTCACTTTAATAGGCAACATGTTTAATCTTTCTTTCTTTCTTTCTTTCTTTCTTTCTTTCTTTTTTTCTTTCTTTCTTCGTTATGAAAAAAAATGGCTCGCACATATACTGCCACCCTCTGGATGTACGAAATTTTTCGACGAAGATCTATACAGGCGGAGCTGGGGAAGATGGAGGCCTGAATATCACAAATATCAGCCTGTGCCTACAGTTTCATGCTAGAACTTGGTATATATCTGCTTATCCATGGTTGTTTTATTTTTTTATGTAGTCTAGTGCTAAGGCAATGACCAGTTTTATATATAAAAAAATACTTTTCATAATTGACAGTGTTTTAACCTTCTTCTTGTAAAACAATCAGTCATGTATTTTAGTGTACAATTCTCATACCCTGTTTTGGGTTTGGAGAGAACCACATAATTTTTTTTAGAAAACGTAAAATATAGTACATTTTTTTCAGATCTCTAAAAGGCTAAAATAAATAAAAAGGCTTGACCGTCTTGGATTTTCATTTGGAGCTCAGAGGAAGAAGAGACAGACCTACAGCTCATCATACGGTCCAATCAGCTGCCCTGGCGTTTGATCCTTTTTTAATGTGCCTGAGTTGCAGGAACATTTTGTTCTAGATGAGGGCTGATAACAGTGATGATGTCTTCTAATCTCAGACAATTATCTACATGTTATTGTGGTTAAGCCAGAATGAAGATGTATTCATCATCACGATTCTCTATTTTAATAGACACCTTAATTACCCCCAACACAAGTCATTAAAATGTAAGGTAGAGTACTCATTTGAATAATCATAGTG